CTACATGTTCTCTGTTGATTGTCATTTTTCCAATTCTACCTACTCCATAACTGATTCTAGTCCGACACTTTTACGCCATATATCTTTCCTATTAAGCCAACTGCATCCGGATGGATATAGTATCACAATATGATTTACCCTCGCTGCCCCCCACAAATCGGCTGGCACATTAAACTCAGCCGTACAATTTGCGATTGTCTCCCCACCAGGGACGGCTGGCGGGTTCCGTAGCTGCCTTGATCCACTGGATGAGGATTCATACGTAGACTCCATGGCGTAGTGTCACTATGGTGTCACTGTTTTGTCAAACTTTCATCTATATGCTGGATGTATGCAACAGACGGTTCAGAAGTTACAGATTGAGCAAGTTCCCAAGATGTACTTTGACAAACTACATCTGTTCAAGTTAGAGATATATAAGTATCTAACTGATGAATAGGCTATAATAATACACTAACGAAGTATACTATCTACATGAAAGTGTACTGAATAAAATAAATAGTACCCAAAATATAGAGCGCTGAATCCATGAAACCCTTTGAGTCGAAGCCGCCGCTGAAATACCGCAAACATTTGTGGGCTTCCGATACTGGTCGTGTTAATGCAGTTTAAGTAAGGTTAGGTAGTCTCACGCCAACAAACACACTAGTGATCTACTGTTTAGGAACTAAGGTAGTGGTAGGCAATATATTATAAATTATTTACAAAGAGAGGTTAGTGATCCATGTTGTGAATCATCTGTAGCGTAAGTGAAATTCTTACTGTTTTATTAATATAATTCTCTCTCTCTCTCTCTCTCTCTCTCTCTCTCTCTCTCTCTCTCTCTCTCTCTCTCGCTCTCTCTCTCTCTCTCACTCTCCCTCTCTCTCTCTGTCTACGACATATAGTCCTTCTGCCTCTGGCTCTGTGTTTCACATTCTCTCCATTCCTCATTTTTTCAAATTATTTCCCATATATTCCCTCTCCTCTTTCTCTCTACTTCTATTGCATGTCACTATTTCTCTCTCACAGGTAATATGAAGTTTGGATTTATATTTTGGGTGTAAAGTTAGTGAAAATTTGGCTAGATATTAGTCTTTTGAGGAACAGGGAAGCTATATAATGAATGTTGTAGGCATTAGAGTCTGATTGTTAAAGAAAATCCTTTCGGACTGTTTCCAGTTAATTAGCGGTCCGGTCCCTCCTTCCCAATTGCATTATTGACTTCAATGAATGAACAAACTGAATAGGGATTCATTCACTCCCTCTAAAAGGGACTGAGTGTTCGGTTTGTATCATCGTAATCAGATAACTGCCAGCACTGTAGACCGGATTAAAGGCACTATTTTCTTGGAAAATTCCTACATTTTAGGATTAAGCAAAACAGTAACAGAAAATCTGATTTTAACTGTGCGTAACACTGAAAGAGCGTGTGAGATTATGCATGCACAAATAACTAATAGGCGCAATGTCCTGGTTTAAATGCATATCTGATTAAATCTTCATTAAACTAATGAGATTCCTGATCATGACTGTACAAAAAATAGGTCATCATGTGTTACTTGCGTAACCTGTTATTGGATATTCACCAAAAGAGATTATATAATAGTACTATTAACGCTGCTGTTGAAGACATCTGTTTATGCTTATTTTCTGGGGCCCAGAAAAAGTGCAAGGCGGATATGTGAAGTTCTGTTACATCTCATAAAACGCTGATGTTACCCATAAACTTTTCACTGCGAAACGTATATCTCTCTCGGTTTCCTCGTCTTATGTTTTTTTTTCTTCTTCTACTACTTCGTATCTGCTCTCCATTTGTAATGGAAGAAGGCTCTTGCAGACTATAATAGACGATGAACTATTACGAAAATCACCAGCACATTATGCAAAGAGAAGACGGCTCAGCAGATAGCAATGAGGACAGGAACTTCCTAACAACGTAGAACATATCTCTTGTCCTTGGCTGTCCATCAGTCCGACAACTCAAAACGAATGTGCAAAACTAACGAAGAAAGCCGGGTCAGGGGCTGCTGTAGAGAACCCCCTCTCCCGTTGTGCTTCTGTCCTGTGTTTTTACACGGAGACGTCGCACATTGCGTTTGTATTACACGCGTATGTACACGCACACTTAGGTAATAAACACTGAATTGTGTTAAGTGCTTATTAATTGCCATTCAGAGTACACAGTAGAGCCGCACCAGTGAAGGAAAATTAAACTTGTACAATAATATTTTACACGTACGTTGATTCATTAGATAAAATTTGTTTCGTTTAAAGGCTTAAACGTGCACTTATTATTAGAACCATTTAATCCGCTGGATCATTAAATCTCTTTGAGTTTTGTGCTGTCAGTTTAGCATATTATTATGCACATAACAATTAGTATAAATTTACACTGAAAGAAAAATGTGGACAATACGAGGTTACAAATATGTAAACATAGAGATATAAAATTGTTACGCACTGCTCTATCTTTAGCTTTTATAATGCATTCTTGTGTATCTTCCAAGCAATCAGTGTTGGTACCTAGTGTGTTGAAATAGCTTCATATGTCAAGCCATCATGCAAAATATGCGGTGTTTGTATAAGCCGACAGGAAATTCATTCTAATTATAATTCTGTTGTTTTCGTCCATCAACTCTGAGAGACCCCCAACCATCTCTTACTTACTAGAACAAATATGTGTCAAAATAGAGAATTAATGTAGAAAAAAATGCCTTCCAACTTTTGCTGATTTGATCCCACTATCAAAATAAACGGACCCACAGTCAAAATGAGCTATGAACTAACACTTTCATATAAATATGTTTTCTCTCTCTTGTTAGTTCCGCGCATACCGAGATTCACGCAGATGCCGCAGACATGAGTTCCAGTCACACCTCTTTTGAAAAAAATATAAACATCTTTCAACTCATATCCGTAACGCCGACAGGACGACGACCTAGCAAAGGCTGCTTCAGTACCCGGGCCTCGACCCTCGTGCTCTGAAGCCTCGAAGACGACCAGAACTGAATCGAGTTAATCGACTGGTTCAGAACCTCTTCCTGTTGATGACTGGAGGGCGTGGCTTGGCTTCAGGAGGCTTCCTCACTAGGCGTCGGTGGGAGAGAGCGGCGGCCTTTGCTAGGTGAACACCACCTGGCTGTAGACGCGGTGTCTGCGGGCAAGGGAGGCTTCAAGGGCGGGGCATGGCGACATTGTGGCCGCCTCCAGGAGTCTGTGGGAAGAGAAAGAGGAGTTAGTCTTTAAATGCAGGAGACATATTTCTCGCTCCAATGTTCTCCCTCTTTTTAACGCGAGTGAAAATAAGTGTTCCATTTAGTTTATAACATCTGATGTGCACTGTACCTCACACCACCGCACAGAGTTTAACAAAGCCTACACTTCCTACTCCAGTTGTGCAACACACTCCAGGCCACTTGCACCAAAGCACAACATTCTGCAACGTCACAAAACTATATGCGAATACTTTTCATGTACTCAACTCTATCCCTAATAATAGCTGATAATGTTCCAACTTGCCTACAAACCATCACAGAGTTGTGCACAGCGTGTACTCTACGTGCTCGACTATTTCCCTAACCTGACAGCTTGCTTTGCCTATACCAACACACAAGCGCACTAGACCTCACTAGCAGCAGCTGCGCATTATACATGCAAATCTGATATCTATCACTTACAACACTTTATTATTTCATTCATAAAACCCTAACCATTATCAGTCTTCATCTTTACATACTACCGATATCTACAGATCCCTTGCCTATAGAAATAACAACTATATACAGTATTATACATACTGCTTTAGGAACATTATGTCTTTCACCTTTTGACAGTCCTCACACTTCGGTGCTAAAGCTGCATGTGTTATATCCTGTGAGTACTTGCTCTTGTACAGCATTGCACAGTTATTATTAGAGTGAGGGGGTCAGAGCGCCATCCTTTAACAAAACAGAGGTTAGTAACTGCTACCCTGTTTGATGCTGATTACTAAGTACATACGGTGACAGCGATCTAACTGCGTCAGTGACAACTTCTAATAACCCTAATAATGCTTAAAACATTCCGTAACAGCATCGGGAATCAACGATGGAATCACACCTGCAGCCAACTACATGGAAAAGGAAACTCTACCCAACAACACGAACAAGCTATCCATTGCTACCATGACAGCACCCTGCCTTTGCTGCGCTTCTGGAAGAGGTAAATCAAAGAATCATCTACAACATGTGATTTTTTTAAGAACTATCTTTATGGAGGACTTTCCCTAGTCAGATGATACTTCTAAACGTGATTTTACATTGAAACATTCTAACTACCCCAAGTTCATACGTTGGTCTATACAGTCTAACCACACATAAAAAACTAAGTGTATATAGATAAACCTGGCTCACTGGCGCGCAAGAAACTAAATATAAAGCGAAAACAAATGAGAACAGCACAGCAAGGGAAATGATGGAGAGGTAAGAATTTTGATGATAGGAAAATGTCAGAGGCCGCGATACGGGGCCTCAGCGTGTGGGTGTTTAGACAAATTAGTTAACCCCATGGTAAGACAGGGCACGTCTGGCCCCGTGCCATTAACCTACCCCCCCCTCCTTGCCCCCGCGCTAAGGGATCGCGTCATGACATGGGTTCTTAATGGAACGACATATGGAGGGCTGCCAGTTGGTTTAGGCCGGGCCGGGCGCCGCTCACCAGCGCCTGCAGCCCCCGCCCTCAGATCCGGCTCGCGAGGTCTTGCGTGCGAGGCGCCTTTGTCTGTCTGCTCGGCGTGTCTGTCTGTACGACCCTTTCTTTATGCTTCTTTATCCGCCTGTCAGTCTGTCAGTCTCTTCCTTTCTGCTCTCTTCCTCTCTCTCTCTCTATCTGTCTATTTATCTATCTTTCTTTTTCTCCCTCTCTCTCCCTCTCTCTTTCTTTCCCTTTCTCTTGCATTCTCCCTTTCGCTTTCACTCTCTCCATTTTGCTTTCAGTCTCTCCCGTTCGCTCTCGCTTTCTCCCTCTCTGAATCGTTCTCTCCCTTTCGCTTTCTCCATCTCTCTCTTACTCTCTCGTGTTCTCTTTCTCTATCTCTCTCTCGCTTTCTCCCTCTCTCTCGTTCTCTTCTCGCTTTCTCGCTTTCTCTCGCTATATCTCTCTCTTACCCACTCTTTTCCTCGCCTTCTCTCTCTCTCTCTCTCTGTCTCTTTCTCATTCTCTCTTACCCACTCTTTCACTCGCCTTCTCTCTCTCTCTCTCTCTCTCTCTCTCTCTCTCTCTCTCTCTCTCTCTCTCTCTCTCTCTCTCTCTCTCTCTCTCTCTCTTTCTCTCTCACCCACCCTCCGTCTTCATCACCTTTTCTCTTAACTTGGCCCCGTCGATGCTCCTTGTTCGATCGGGATGGATTTTCAAATTAATATTTAATTAATATTTTTTAAGATTCTGCTTAACTCATCCAAGAAAGTCAAAGCCAATAAAGCGCGGATATTAATAGAAAGTTCAAGGAAGCAATGGAATATTTGGATGGAGCAAAGCCAGTCGTTCTAAAAATGACCCAAAAAGAAATTTTGATAATTATGAAGACATAAATACACTGACTGCGCAAGTGAGTCAAGGAAGAAATACATCCAAGAACTTTCGGTGCAATTTATGCCATGGATAATTTACGCCTGATTATGCAAGGGTGATTGCACATCACAACTGTTTCTTTGCTGTACACTTAAGAAAAAAAAATCTACGGATATTTCGTAAGGTAATCTACAGTTATTTCTTCTTCTTCTTCTTTTATCCTATTTATTTAGTATCTTTTAGATTACATATACACATTTTAGGTACATTTTGGTACCTCCTTTCTTTTTATTTTTACACATCTCTTCGCCTTTCCTAAAATGAACCTGTGTTGCTATCCTTGACGATGACTCAGCTCTGCCACCAGCTTGGAACCAAGTGTTCAGGAATAGGCCTACTTGCACAAGATAATAAACACTTTCTTGTGATACCCGAAAGGAGGAACGAAGCTGTTCAGAAGGCGTGTGTAATGTACAGTTTTTTAATAAGAATATGAGTCTGTATAGTTAGCTGGTACCTTTTTTCCAGGGACAAGGAATGCTGGAGGATTTAGGGGTAGAATGCCATGATGTGAGGATGATGAATGAAAACCCGACCCTTTGACTAAAGCTGATTGAACTAGAGGAAGGTAGACAGGTTTTGAAAAGCCTAAATACCTCTGACTAAGTTAAGAATATTGATCAGCCTGTATATTTCTGAACAAATATTATCGACTTAAAATCCATAGATCTACTTGAATATTATTAAATGAAATAAGACAAACATGATTAAACAAGACGAGCTGGCTACTTCAGTATATGTATACAAAATGGGGCGATCTAGAAATTCCTGAACAAGCCAAAAAGTAAAAATCTATTAAAAAATAATTTAGAATCCCCCTCAAAATTCTCTAGGCAAGTTAAACTTTCATTTTATTTTCTGTCTTAAATCCTTAAACCAAGTCAGTCGACCTATAAATTCCTAACAAATAAAATCGACCCAAAATATGGAATAAAGTGATGAATATACAAACAAATTTACCACAATAAATCACAAAACAAACTAACAAATACACACAAATAACAAAAACTTCCTCTATTTCTCGACAATAAATCGTAATCTCCCATAAAGAAATATAACCACAACGTCTTTAAATACAGAATACCTGTAATCTCACGATAAATAAACATGCCTTAAGAAGAAGAAAAAAAAAAATACAAGCATCCTTAAACTTCCCAAACGAAACCGAAAAATAAAAACGCTTAAAGATCCCCAACTATATGAACTCCTCCCGAAAATAATGCAAAAAAATAAAGAAATCACAATAAGCAAGGCCATATTGAGAATTAAACCTGAACAAAATTGCAAAAAAGGAAAAAAAAAAATCCCTAACCGCTTGAAAAATCCGAACAACACAAAACTACCCTGAAACATCCCTAACCAAATAGAACCGCTCATAAAAAATACCAAACCAGACGAATCCACTTAAAAAAGTACCCTAGAAAAAACCCCTAAAACTCCCTAGTCCTGTATTACCACCCTAGAAACCCCCTAACCAAATCAAAATCCCTTACTTAACCCAATAAAGCTACGAGAATCAGTCCCTAAACCAATCAGACTCGGCCTGAAATTAGATAAATAAAAGACCTTATTTACAAAAGCAGCGGCAGGTAGGGGAGGCACCCTCGCACACAAGCGCTGAACCACACACTTACCCTACCGTGTGGATCCGTTCCTTAAATTCCATATACTGACGTTTTCGGTCAAAATGTTTCACCTGGGGGGAAAAAATAGGGGGAAATTATTAACAAGTCGAAAAGTGTGTATGTGTTTTGTATATTTATATATCTATAGTTTAGTTAAAGTGGGGCTTGTAAATGATTTTCAAAAGGATGGGATGTAGGAAGTGTTCTTGGCTATTGGGAGAAGGACCTCATTCATGTGAAATATAATAAATGTTTAACTATTTATGATATAAACAGAAGAAAGGAC